AGGGGGTCGGGGAGGATGAGGATAATTACGAAGTAGGAGGGAAGGAGGAGGAGGAGGAGGAGGAGGATGGAGAGAAAGGGGAAGAAGAGGATGGAGAGAAAGTGGAGGAGAAAGAGACTGGAGAGAAAGGGGAGGAGGAATGTGATGAAGAGAAGGGGGAGGATGACGAAGGAGGAGGAATAGGAGGAGGAGGAGGAATAGGAGGAATAGGAGGAAGAGGAGGAGGAGGAGGAGGAGGAGGAGGAGGAGGAGGAGGAGGAGTGAGGAGGAGTGAGGAGGCTGTCGTGGGGGCGCCTGGGGCGGCGGCATGCTCGAGACGGCCACGCACGGCGGCGCGCTCGCAAAGCACGGCGCGCTCGCGAAGCACGGTGCGCCCGCGAGGCACGGCGAGCCCGGGAACGCCACGCACGGCGCGCCCAGGACGCCGGCGGAGCCCACCGTGCGGTACGTCGGCCTGGTCAGCCGGCGCAGCTCCTCGTGCAGCGCGTCGATGTAGGCGGCCTGGTGCCGCTCGCCCTTCCTGGCCTCCTCCTTGCCCTCCCTCCACCATCGGCCTGCTGCCCTCCAGCTCTCCTCCTCGCTTTCCTCCTCGTCGTCCCCCCAGACCCCGGCTGCCTCTGTCCCGCAGCGCCCTCTTCCTCCTCTCGTCCTTCTCCCTTTTCCCTTCTTCCCCCTCGCAGCGCCCTCCTTCTCCTACAGTTTCCCCTGCTTCGCTGTTTCCTCCTCCGTTTCCTCCTTTTTCTCCTCCTCCTCCTCCTCCTTCTCCTCCCCTAGCCGCAGATCCTCCTCGTCCTGCTCCCACTCCTCCTTTCCACGCGCCGATGTAGGTGGCCTGCTGCTTGTGAGAAGCGATGAGCGCTTTCAGGTCTGGCCCAGCCTGCGTCTTTACCTCCTCTCCCACGAAGATGTTGAAGGCGCCCCGGCTGTCTCCGTCGACCTCGGCCCGTCCTTCCCAGTCTTCATCCCGATGCTGCTCTTGCTGCTGCTGCTGCTGCTCGTCCTCATCCTGCGCCCTCTCCTCCTCCTTCCCTCCTTCTATCTCCATTCGCTCCTCCTCCTCCTCCTCCTCCTCCTCCTCCTCCTCCTCCTCCCCCTCCCTCACCTCGAACGCGGAACCGATCACCGACAAGCAAATCTTGGGCTGGTACACGTCCTCGACAGCGTCTGCATACGACTGCTCGAACTTGCCGGCGAGCTTCCCCGGGTCCCCGGCTGGCTCGCGGGGGTCGGAGCTAGTGTCGAGGTTGAACCGAGAAGGAGGAGGAGGAGGAAGAGGAGGAGGAAGATGAGGAGGAGGAGGAGGAGGAGGAGCAGGAAGAGGGACGACGGACGAGGGGAGGACGTACGTGTGATATGACTTTGAGGCGCCTTGGTCCCGCTGATTGGCCCAGCTCCAAGGGGACACCGCCCTGTAAGCGCGGCGGTCGCAAGTGCCCGCCGTGGTTGACCCTCGAGGTCAGGGCAATCACTGGGCAAAACGAGGGCCACTGCTGGGGGGTCCCTGGGACGGGGGGAGGAGGGACGGCAAGGGAGGGATGAAAGAAGAGGGAGGAGATCGAACCACTGATGAAATATGCCCGAGCTGTGCCGCTGAGCGAGCCCCTCCACCGGGATTCGCAGCAACCCGACGTAGCGAGCGGCCTCTGGGGCGAACACCGGCTGAGGGCACTCGTAGACGATGACGCCGAGGGTCGTCTCGATGCTGGCCTCCACGCTGAGCGTCTGTGACCGCCCGATGACCTTCGAGGACGTGCCACCGCTGCTGACGCTGCAGAAGTAGAACATGTCCTGCGACCTCGGGGAGGCGGTGCATCGTTTCTTGATGCCGGCCAGGCTCGAGACTGCGTGGCTGGAGCACTCCCGGCGGAAACACGAGGAGTGCGCGGGCGACTTCTCGCCGTCGCTCGGGCGTCCCTCCCTGTGCAATTTGTTCGGTTTCGTGCGTGTTTTTGTTTTTCTTTGGCCCGATGGTCGAGGATGCTCCTCGAAGGTCCTCGCCGAGAAGAACTTGCACACGACGTCCGAGCGATGCCAAGACTCGGGCATAGCGACAAGCATGGGTTTCGCAACGCCTCCTGCTCCTCCTCCTGCTGCTGGCACTGCTGGTCCTCCCCCCCCCCTCCGCCTTCGCCTGCGACCTCGGGTTGTGAAGGTCCACCATCGTCACGAGCAGGGGCATCGAGTCCGCCGCAAAGGCGTTGCCCATGGCCTCACGTCGCGGCTCTGCCCGGCCGGGCAAGGCGCTGTCGCGTGCACGCCGTGCCAGTTGACGGCCCCCCCCTGGGCCAGACGCCGTTTGTGCCAGAGAGGGCGCAAGGAGGCGGTGGGGGAGACGATGAGGAAGAAGGGAGGGGAGAGAGAGAGAGAGAGAGAGAGAACAAAAAAAAGAGAATGGAGGAGAGAGGACGGGGGAGAGAACAATGATCACGAGGACGATGAGGAAAGACAACTAGTCGTGTGCAGAGGGGTGAGCATGGAGAAGAAGGGCAGGGAGGAGGGGACGATCAGGGTGGGATGGGCTGGGCGGGGGAGGGGGAGGGGGGAGAGGCGGTGAAGGAGGGGGTGACGTAGGAGAGAGGAGGTTGGGGGCGGGAACAAGTCGGATGAGAAGGGGATTTCGGCGGCGAGGGAGGGGGGGAAGTGAGAAGGAGAAGGCCTTATCAGAAGGTTCGGAAACCCCTGGCCTTCTGAGACGTTGTCTAAGCCTTCTCCGAAAACGAAACAACTTATCAAAGGCGCGAGGGCTTCTGAGAAGTCCCGCCGCCTTCTGAGAAGGCCTTCTCCTTCTCATTTCCCCCCTCGCTCGCTCGCCGCCGAAACGAGTCGGATGAGAAGGGGATTGGGCTGGGAAGCTTGGGAGGGAGGGTCGCTGCGACACCGCCTGGGAACGAGAAATCAACGAATCGAGAGCCCGAGGGCACAGCATGGAGGCCGGGGCATGATGAATCACCGATGCCCAGCTCAAGCCCAACGAGTTAGGTATGTAGACTGCCTGTGCAAGCGTGAGGATGGATGGGGACTGGAGGAGCAGGATGACGAACCTAGGATTAGGTCGGGCATGTCCTCCTGCAGGGGGATTTTTGGACGAACAATAAACACTAGTCGAAACATATTTCAAACGAGTCAAAACTATGAGAAACATCCCCAGACTATTTTGGGACTCTTTTCTAAAGATTCCCCCTGTAGATAGACAGGCCCGACTTAAGCCTAGGAGTAGAAGAGGTGTGCCCACCGATCTGCCTTCCGTCCGTCCCTGAGGCATCTGGTTCAGTCTGTTGCAGACTCGTGGATGTCCTCCAGCGTATCAGTGACAAGGGAGGAGGAGGGAATATACCTCGAGTCGGTCAGTCAGGAGGACAATGAGGAGGAGGAGGACGACGACGACAGAAACGCCACCGCGGGCTCTCGGGCCGCCCCTAGGTCGGGCATGCCCGCCTACAGGCAGACCTGGGAAGAAAACTAAACACAGTCAACAGATGCGCAACAATAGCCAAACATAGTCGACACACCGTCCCCAGACGATGGTTGGACTGTTTTTGTTTTCTGTTGCATATTCTTCCTGTGGACGGGCCCGACTTCATGATGGGGAGGCACGGAGCCAAACAACCCCTCGCCGAGGCCCTCGCCCAGTTCGCCGATCTTGGCGCCCCTCCTCCGCCTCCTCCTCCTCCTCCTCCGCCTCCTCCTCCTCCTCCTCTGCCTCCTCCTCCTCCGCCTCGTCCTCCTCCTCCTCCTCCTCCTCCGCCTCCTCCGCCTCCTCCCCCTCCTCCTCCGCCTCCTCCGCCTCCTCCGCCTCCTCCTCCTCCTCCTCCTCCTCCTCGCCCCGAACTTCGCGCCCCTCGCGCCCCGCGGTGCGCGCTGGTCCTCGCGCCCCCTCGCGCCCCTCCCCGCTGCGGGCCCTCCCTCGCTCCTCCCTGGGGAAGGGCAGCCGCTCCGGGCCCGGACCGCGGCGCGCGCGACGCGCGAGCAGCGTCGCCAGAGGCCAGAACAGCCATTTCCAGAATTGAAGGGGCCCACTAACACGTCAAGGGATGCACACACACGCACAAATCCCAGGATTCCTGTTATGTTTCCATCTTGTTTGGATTTTCGTCTCCCCCCCCCTTCCCGTGTTTTCGCCTATCTTCCTGTGTGTATGTTTCCCCTCCTGAATCATACCCACCCCGACACGCGAAGTCGTTTAGTAAACGCGCCCAAAGAAGCAATCGAACAGGGCAGGGCTGTTTAGCAAACGCAGGGCCGTTGAATAAACGCCAATTGTCCGGCCAGGGTGGTTTTTCCTCCTTGATTCGCCCCCCCGAGGGTGACCTGGCCCACTGCGCTGTTGCGCCAACTCTTGCCAGCGCCAACCTATTTCTCTTGCCTGTCATGGGTTCCGCATGATCGTGGGCATCGGGTGAGCCAGCTCGTGAGCGGGGATGACGAGTAGGAGGGTTGAGGAACATGTGGAGAGGGGATAATGAGAATGAAGTAGGAGAAACACCAACGCCTGTGCACAGGAAACATGCCCGTCGGGAAACAACATATTAGCAGGGCACTGTCCAGCCATGTCCAGTAGGCACGGTCTGCAAATAGCGTATCGTGACAACGTTCTCGGAACGGAGCTTTTGCGACAATGTACCTCGCATGCGGACCATCTGTCCGCCCACACGACGTTTGAGGAGAAGGAAGAGGAGGGAGGGAGAAAGAGGAAGAGGAGGACAAGGGGGAGGATGAAGAGAAGAAGGAAGGCAGGAGGAAGGACAGACCCAGATGAGAGAGAGCGCCGAGTTCGGTGACGGGACAAGGGGGCCAGGATCAGGACATTCAGGATGACGAGGACGCTGAGAAAACGATGGGAGGAGGGGAGGGGGAGGAGGGAACGGAGGAGGAGGGGCAGGAGGAAGAAGAGGATGGGGACTAGGAGGAGAACAGGAGGAGGATGAGGACTTGGAGGAGGAGGGGGAGGCGGCGGAGGAGGACGGGGGAGGATTGGGAGGATGAGCTCAGCGGCTGGCTTCCTCCTCGATGGCACGCACGGCGTCTAGGTTGCCGCTGCCAGCCCGCGCGGCCTCGGACCGAACGGCCTCGCGCCCGTTGATGAGGGCCTGGCGGGCGGCTTCCGAGGAGGCAGGATCGGCCAGCACCAACTTCGGATGATCACTGCTGCTGTCATACAGCGGATGCCAGTCCACAAGAGACCTTCCACCAGAAACCCAGCCCTGAGACCCCGACGACCATGGATGTGTGGCGTGGGGACGTCACGCTTTCCGTGGCAAAACCGTCGAAACCCAAGAAACCCAGGGCACCCTGGGGGCAAGTAAGGTGTTTCTTGGCATGGGCCGCCGCTGTACGTCAGGGCGAACCAGATAAACAAAAACAAACACGGAAGTCGTCGTAACAATTGTGTGCTGCCTCTGCCCGTAGTTTCTGGCTCTCGGTGTGGAGAGGGCTCAACAACCCGTCCACTATCGCAATAGGTGGGGGGCCAGAGCAACCAGCGCAGTGCAGATTGACCGCGAGGCCAAAACCGATGAGGATCGGTCAGCACCGAATCGGGGAACCCGACCGAATCGGCATGTGCGTCTGATCGTAAGAGCAGGGCCAAGGCTGGGACAAAACTGGACCTGCGCAAATCTGCGATCTCTGCAATCCAGCGGTTCTGGAGGACGTAGCAGGCGACGCGGCCACTCCAAAGCGCTCTGGACCGCTCTGAGAGCGTTCTGGACCGCTCTGGGGCGATTTGTGTCAGTCCTGGCCCCGCCCGAGAATCGGTCAGCACGGACTGTACGTCGGGTCGGACTGACATCGTCATTCGGCGGCGCGCCGAAGAGGGAAGTGAGAGGGGGCAGGCCTTCTCAAAAGGCGGCAGGGCTTCTCAGACGCCCTCTGGCTTCCTACGAAGCCCTGTCTCGCCATCGCTCGGACGTCCATTCCCCGTGCATGTTTCGCTTTCGTGCGTTTACTTTTCCGCACGAGGATCCAGTGTGCCCCTCGACGGTCCTCGACGAGGAAGAAATGCACACGTCCGAACGATGATAAGCTGTTGGAGGCTTGGAAATGGGCACCAACACCAGGGCATGACTCCCCGGGAGGCAGCTGATCCTGCATTTTGGTGCTGGTGGTACTCTTTCGGCCACCTGGAAAGCCCGAATCTTACCGCCATCATCGAGATCGGGATCATCTTCCCTCGGTGGAACCACACCGCCGATATTCGGGGGCGGCCAAGAGGGGGGTGTTTAAGAGGGGGGGCGCAGATCAGGGCCGGCGGCACGTGCGCGGCCCAGAGGGGGGGCCAGGAACGTAATGAAATGAGAAGAGGCGCCATGAAATCTGAGGAAATAGCATGGCCCACGCGATGATATCCACCCCCCCTAGTCATCACCCCCCACTCTGGCGCCCCCGAGATATTGGTGTTGGTGCCAACCTCTAGGCCTCCGAAGGCCCTCTGGTGGAAGCACACCGCCGATACTGGTGCTGGTGGAAGGCTGGAGGCCTTCTGAACCTTCTGCTAGGTCGGGCGAGTCCCCCTACAGGCGCATCTTGGACGACAACCTCACAAATAGCCCAACCATGCCCAGACATAGCCCACAAATGCTCCAAACATCGCTCCCAGACTATGATGCTTCGACTATCTTTGCATCTTCCTCCTGCAGAGGGGCGTGCCCGACTTCCACCCCCCGAGGAGGCCCGCCCCCGCTGCCTCCGCCCCCTGAGGGCGCGCTGCCGAGGCGCGGGCTGCCGGGAGCGGAGCGGGCCGGCCGCGCCTGGATGCACCGCGGCGCCGTGCGCCGGCGGGAGCGGGTCGGATCGGGTCGGCCGAGGGCGACGTCGGACCCCGATCGTGTGGGATGGGGCGCCCCTGGAGGAGGCAGGGCAGGCTCCCCCACCCCTGCCTCGGCCGAGCTTCTCTCTCGGGGCGAGGCTCCGAACGGAGTCGGGCGAGGCCCCGACGAGGGTCAGAGGATGGCTGCCGGCGTCCGCACCCAGGGGGAAGCAGGGATCAGGGTCAGGAGGGGGGGCAGTCCATGTCACATTCCTCCGCCTTCCCCTTCCCCTCCGCCTCCTCCCCTCCTCCTCCCCGCTACTCCGTCTTCCTCTCCACGCCAAAGCCATGGGGAGGGGAGGGGGGGATAGGAGAGAGGGGAGGAATACGTAAACACAAATGTATGTATACACATAGGCCCTAGGCACGACTTAAGTCATATATGTAAACCATGGCCAACGAGAGCCCCAAACAATGTGTTCTAGCATACTGCGTGGTGCAATGTGTGTGGTGCAATTCACATTGCCTAACTTGAAATGTGTCAACTCCACTGCTCGCGCAATCATCCCACCCACCCCGCCGCAGCTTGGTTTGCAAGACCAGTGCGGAAGTGATGGCGATGACTGCTTGGCTCTAGCTGGCGCGCCGCTGCAGCCGCGCTGGCGCGCGCAAGCTCGCGCGCAGAGCGGCGACGGCCGCCGCGGCCGCGACGACGACATCGGGCGCGTCGGGCGGGACGTGAAAGCGGGCGGGTCGGACGGGCGGACGGGACGGGCCGGAGGGAGGGGCGGAACGGGTGTGGGGTGGGGCGCCCCGTCGTCGTCGATTGCCGGCGCGAGATGAGGTGTGGGGCTCTCGGCCCCTTCCTCCCCCGAGGGTGGGAGGGTCTTGTACCCCCCGCCCGCGCAGCGCTGAGGGGGGAGAAGGGGGGGGGCAATTCGTACCCCCCCCCGTTGCCCGAGGGGGGGGAGATTTCGATCCCCGCCCCCCTGGCATACGTGAAACGCGCTTCGTGACATCTAGGGATAACTGGGGATCCGAACAAGTAGGCATTTGCCGGTTGGGGCTGCGGAATTGCCAGCAGTGGAGCGGGGACGGGAGGGGGGTGCTGGGGATTTGGACGAGAAGCATGTGCAGGATCATAAAAAAGGGAGGTGACTGAGGGGGGAATGGGGCGGAGGGAAGGAGGTATGGATGGAATAAGGGATTTAGGGAAGGGGAGGCAGGCATTGCAAGGAGAGGAGCGCGGAAGGATGAGTGGGGAGGGAGAGTATCCACACAGCAAGAGGCCTCGATGGAGGCGTCGCTGAGCTTCAGCTTCTTGGCATCTCCCGACCCCGCGCGGGTGCGGCTGAAGCTGATGGCAATTGGTGGAGGGTGCACGTGAAAACCAGCACACATCAAGGATCAGTGCTATACTCTCCTGCTTCCCTGTATCGTTTCGATGGCGGAGAGAGCAAGGCGATGGACGCGCCCGAGAGCCGCTTCACGACGCAGACTGAAAACTCGGCTCTGGAACAACCTTGCGCAGACCATGACATAATGTGACATGTCAAAGGCGCGCATCATCTGGCCGATTGGTAATTCGACCGTCCAGCAGTCTGGTCAGCCTGATCTGTGAGGTGTGTGTGTGTGTGTGTGTTTGTGTGGGAGACGGGGACAATCGATACCAAATCGAATAATCGAATCGAAACTCACCTCAGATCGGGCTGCACCAGCATGGAATCGAAATCGAATGGGATCGACCGCACACGGATGCACAACATAACCTTGCAAACATGGTGTCGCATCGACTCGTCAGAATGTCGGAATCGGATCGGGTCGAGCTATCCATGATCGATATCGAATCGGGTCGACCAGATCGAAATCGACCCTGGAAAGGCAAGCCAAGGTCGGAGAGGAAACAGAGGAGGAAGGGACATCGGACACGTCTTTGATCATGGCCTGGATGTTGTCGCGCTGCAGGGCGTTCAAATGGTCGTAGAATCCAAGCGCGTCCACCCGGGACCCGACCACAAAGAGTACGCGTTTCGTGGACGCTTGCCTGAAAAACGCCCTGACACGTTGGAACTGCAGGGGGGCCGCACCCCAAAGCACTCCTTGAGGGGCAACGATAGGGGGGGACTAGCACAGGGGGGATGCATCGACCTGGAATCGGCGATACATCGCCGATAGAACGGCGATATGCCTCCGATCGTGAATCCGCAGCTTGCTGGGCAGGTTGGGGTCGATGCATCCCCCCCTTTGCCTGTCCCCCCCCATCCTTGCCCCTGACTACTGCAGAACCCGGGGGATGGGGGGCCCTGGACGCCGGCCTCCCTGACCCTGACCAAGGAGGCCGCCCCCCTCCTCCAAAGAAGGGGGGGTCGAACCGGAAAGGGTCCCTCCCCTCTTGCCCGAGAAGGGCGGGGTCGAACCGTGGGGGGCGGCCCTCCTCTCTGAGTGCAGGGATGGGGGGGCTCTGACTGGGGGAGGGGGCCCGCCAAACGGAGGGGGGCTTCGAACCAGAAGGAAGGCCGTCTTCGTCTTCGTCGTCGCCGCTGCTCGATGGCGCCGGCGCCGGCGCCAAGGGAGAGGCTCCCCCTCCCCCAGTTCGAACCCACCGTTGCAGGTCAGTGGGGGGAGCCCCTGTGCGAGTTGTCGTCAATGTCGCCGTCGAAATCGCCGTCGCCGTCGTCGCCGACGCCGTCGTCGTCGTTGTCGTCGTCGTCGTCGCCGTCGCCGTCGTCGTCGTCGTCGTCGTCGTCCTCGCCGTCACCGTCGTCGTCGTCGTCGTCGTCGCCGTCGTCGTCGTCTTCGTCGTCGTCGTCGTCGCCGCCGCCGCCGTCGCCGTCGCCGTCGCCGTCGCCGTCGCCGTCGTCGTCGTCGTCGCCGCCGCCGCCGTCGCCGTCGCCGTCGCCGTCGCCGTGGCCGTCGCCGTCGCCGTCGACCCACGCCAAAGGGAGGGGGGGTTCGAACCAGGAGGGAGCCGTCTTCGTCTTCGTCGTCGTCGCTGCCCGACGGCGCCGGCCCCGGCGCCTAGGGGGAGCCCTCCCCCTCCAGTTCGGCCCCCCTGTGAGCGTTGTCGTCAGAGTCGCCGTCGCCGTCGCCGTGGCCGTGGCCGTGGCCGTCGCCGTCGCCGACGCCGTCGCCGCCGTCGCCGTCCTCGTCACCGTCGCTGTCGATGTCGCCGTCGCCCCCCGCCAGAAGGGAGCCGTCTTCGTCTTCGTTGTCGTCGTCGCTGCCCGACGGCGTGCGCGTCGTCGTCGATGTCGATGTCGCCGTCGCCGTCGCCGTCGCCGTCGCCATCGTCGTCGTCATCGTCGTCGTTATCGTCGTCGCTGCCCGACGGCGTCGGCGTCGGCGTCGGCGTCGGCGTCGGAGTCGGCATCGGCGTCGGCGTCTGCGTCGGTGTCGGCGTCGGCGTCGGCGTTGGCGTCGGCGTCGGCGTCGGCGGCGTCGTCGTCGTCGTCGTCGTCGGCGCTCGCCGTCGTCGATTGCAGTGGGGGGCCGTCCCTCGTCGTCACTCCCCAACGGCGCTGGCGGCGCTGGCGCTGGCGCTCGCCGTCGTCGATTGCACGGGAGAGGGGGGGGCCCCTCGCCGTTCAAACCCCTCCCCTTGCCTCTGGGGACCCCCCCCCAGCTCGGGCCCGCCCCCATGCAACTCGAGGGGGGGCGAGGCCCCTCGGTCGAACCCTCCTCCCCTGAACAGACGGGGGGGGGCTCTCTGGATTCGAACCCCCCATTTCTCCCTTGGACAGAGGTGGGGTGGCCCCCCCTCCAACTCACGTGGGGGGGGCCCCTTCCCCCTGTTCGAATCCCCCCCCCGCTTTGAAGGGGGGATGGCGGGGGGGGCCAATGGTTCGATCCCCCCCGTGCATCTCACGGGGGGGCTCCCCCCCGGTTCGACACCCCTCCTGTCCCACTTCCACAGAACGCGCTCTTTTCGACCTCAAGATCGAAGTAGTCCTGCAACTTGGGGTCGATCCCTCATCAAAGACATGGTCCAAGATAAGAGCTCAAGTAGGCTGGATGCTTTGTGGTTTTCGAACTGTGCCAATAGACGTTTCCCAACTTGCCTAAGGGTGTACGTGTAATCTTCCACTCGCTTGATGGGATGGGGTCGTCCGATGGATGGCCGCAGTCCCGAGCGACTTCGCGGACCTACTCTGGAAGCAAAGAAAACGACTGATCCAGCGGGGTACAAAACTCCTGCTTTCGCAGGCCCAGGGGCTAGGGACACGAGGACAGGGACAAGGTCGGGGGGAATGCCTGCAGGTTGGCGGGTCGTCCAAGGTGGAGAAGCAGGGTGTGGGTCCAGAAATTCCTTGGGGGGATGCCAAGATGGATCTGGTCAAGCGGGGCCATTGACTTGATGTACTTGGTCTCCCTTGCGATCTGCTCGACCCTGTGCGTGAACCTTGGCTGGTCGATTTCGATGATGTCGGGCAACATTGCGTCGAATAACTGGGGGAGGGAGCGAGTGGGAGTAGCACCGCTATGGTGGCATGGAAGCTGCCCTCCGCCGATGCTGGAAAGCTGAAGTCACCAGCTACGATAGACGTGCATGCACTCGGTGGTGGCAGCACTGCGCGCACGCTGTGCAGCTGCTCTTTTTGGTCCTCGATGGGAAAGGAGGGGTCCAAGTGCACGTCTGTCGCCTGCATCTGATCTCGGTCATTCGCCATCATGGTGTCGTGGATGCGGCTAGGCACCAACTCGCGGATAATAATGGGAGAAACATCCTGACGCAACCGAGGATGGAGAAAAAAATAACAGTGCCTCCACAAAACGACGATTGGCAAAACATGCCAACCAAACACCATCTGCAAATTCACGGACGGAGAACTCAATGTTGAAGCGGGACCCGCGACTTTCGTGAACACGCAAAAGTTGGGCATTTCTGGATCATCGGCTTGATGCGAGCTAGTTTACGGCGGGCGGTTACACTGGTAGACGTGGAACCGACTATAGACTGCACATTCCAACCAACAATAGTCAAGTCGTTCCGTCGTGTACAAGGTGTACACGTCGATCGCGATGGAGAGGAATGAGGATGCCGAGGAGCAGGCGGAGGCGGAGGAGGAGGACGGCGACGACGACGACGACTTGTATTTAGAACATTTGGCTCGCGACCTCCGTTGCCTCGTTTGGCGCACTCGGGCCCCAGGCCCCTAGTAGGTGTGGCCCAACCTGCGTCGATGCGCCGCCAACTCCAACCTCGAATCCCCGCGCAAAATGCCATCGACGAGCATCCAAAAATCATGGCTGGGTGTAGTTTGTGTGTTTGAGTGGTTTTGCCACCTCAGTTGTTGCGCCAGAATTTCCCTTCCAAGGATCACCGCCCTGGTGCTCCTGGAAGGGAATTTCTCGGCCTCAAGCTGGGTTCGCTTCCCAACTCCACCTTGGGCCAACACTCCCCTAGACTACAGTCAGACCACATGAGGATGCGCGGTAAGGAAGCAGGATCCCTGGAAGGCCATGCTGGCACTTTGCGAGCGGGGCGCCGCCAACTTCTCGGGCCCGTTTGGGGCGGTCACTGGCAGCGTGAGCGCCCTGCACCCCTTCCCCCTCCAGGAGGAGCGCTGCTGCCGACGGCTCCGCCTCGGCGCGAGGGAGCAGAATGGGGAGCAGGGGGGAAATGCAGGGAACGAGGCGGACGAGCAGGAGGGAAAGCAGGAGCAGAAACAGGGAGGACGGGCAGGAGTAGGGAGGAGGAGGAGGAGGAGGAGGAGGAGGAGGAGGAGGAGGAGGAGGAGGACCAGTGTAGACCCAAGAACCATCAACGATGTTGGGAAACCTTCACTCCAAGCTCCCTCTTCAGGGGCCTCTACAACGGTTCATTTCCACTGAAGGAACTGCCCCGTTGGAAGACAACCGTTTGAAAACCCTGAAGCATGCCAAAACATTGTTTTCGGGGTTCTAACGCCACGGATCAACCTGACTGCTGCGCCTTGACGACCCTGAATCGTGCCAAAAAAACAATCTTGGGACTTCAACACCGCGAGCCAACGTAACTGTTGCACCCTCAAAATCCATAATCTTTGCAAAACACAATCTCTGGTACGTTGACCATGGGTACCCGTGAAACTCTGGCAAATATTCGACAAGGATGTGCGCAACGCGAAAACGCAAACCACATTTTGAAAGCGACCCGCCATCAACCCGTGAACCTCCTGCAAATGTTTACAACGAATGTGCCCGGCGCTAACGCGAGAACCATATGTTGAAACCAACCCGCCCTCAATCCGGGAAAATATTGCAACTGTTTACAATTAAGGTGGGCGGCGCTTAAACGAGAAGTACATGTTGCAAAACAGCCGCCCTCAATCCGTGAAACCCTTGCAGTTCTATGAGACGAGCGTGCGCGGCGCTAAGGCGAGAGCCACACTTTGAAAACGACCCGCCCTGAATCCGTGAAGCTTCTACAACTGTTTAACACGAGTGTGCGCGGCGCCAAGGCGAGACACACATTTTGAAAACCACCCGCCCTCCATCTGAGAAGCTGCTGGCACTTCCAAACTTCAGGGTCGTAACTGGTGAGAAAGTCTCAGGCGAAAGGCCAGCTCGCCCTAAAACTTGGCCTCGGGGTGCGACATGGATAATTTAGTTATAAGAACAAGGAGTGGAGGACGACGACGACAACAAGGAGGAAGAGGAAGAGGACGAACAATTTCCCACGTGTTTCCCGAAGGCACAAGCAATTTCTAAGAAGGCGCGCGCTCCCTCGCGAGCTTATGCGCCACGCCAGCAGAGCAGCTTGCGCGACGCCTCGCGTCCATCGCATGGACGCGCGTCGCCCCGCGCCGCAGCGCGCCGCGCGCCGCCCTCTTTTTTGTCCAAGGATGGGGGCTGGGTCAAGGGCGCCCGCCCCGCCTTTTCGTGCCCGCGCTGAACGTTGCGCAATGATCTCCCTTGACAGTTTTGTGTCTGGGTGGCAAGTAACATCGAATTTCTACAGGGGGGGGGGCGGACCCTGCAGGTGGGGGCGCGTGGCAACGGCCCCGCGGGGTCGCGCTCCAGTGGGCGTCTCATGGCACCGCCCCCATTTGCAATGCTCTCGCAGCAAGACGCCTGCCCGGGCCCCCCTCGACCTGCGCCCATCCTCCGACGCGCCGCGGGCTTCGCGCACGCGCGGGCATTGCAGATCATGCCCTCGTCGAGCGCGCCCCCCCTCGTGGCGGGCAGCTCGCTGCCCTCAGAGGGAAAAGGAATAGAGAACCACTGAGGCCCCGGGCGCCGCCCCGGGGAGCGAAGGGGAGGGGGTGGCGCGACGCGACGCGCGAGGTCTAAGCAATGAGCACTACCATGGAAGGCAGGGGGAGGGCAGGAATGCGACTCCGAGCAGGAGGGCGACGGGGGCCCGACCGAACGCCTGAGGCCAGGGATCGAAACCGAAGGGAGGGTCAGATGTCGGGCCCCCGAACTAGTCGCTGGCTGGACGTCGCCGACAGACAAGCTCGACTGTGGCATCTGAACCAGAGGCGAGGTACTTGTAGCAGGTCCCACCGCCCATTGCCCTCTGAGGGGGAGGCGCAGCGCCCGCGTGTTCTCTCTGCCGCGCTCGGCGCCGCTGCCAAAAGTCCTTCTCGGGAGCCTGCCGACGTTTTGCGTTCCCGCGAGCATGAGATGTCGCGCCAGCGCTACTGTCAGGGCCAGCGGAGAGGAGCGGGGGGGCGGAGGACAGGAGGGAAACAGATGGGGCAAGGAGGAGGAAAGAGAGGGGCGCCACGGGACGATGCCATGCGACGCGGCCGCGTTCTAACATTTCAGCCTCGCCCCCTGGCCCAGCCGCGACGCGACAAATTTCCGCCAGCGCCCGCCATTGAAACGCGCCGTGGCCTCGGGCGGGGTCCACGAGGGAGGCCGGCAGGGGCCCCGTGCTTTGCGGCCGCGGATAGATGCCAACAGCGCAGGTGTACGAAGATATCCAACAGCCGCGGCGACTTGAAAACAGACGGAAGACTCATCCCCGGACCGAACGATGCAAAGCCTTTGTCACTGCACATTGTTTGCCTGGCTCTTCTTGAGCAGGGGCCGACCGCCCCGGCATTTATTTCTACGTGCCTACCACGAACTGTTTTCGGAACCCCAGCCATGTTCGAATAACGAAAATAATGTTCTTAGAACATAAACCCGATATGTTGACACAAGACAGCCCCAAACAGAAACTAACATTTCGCGCACACCGCAAAAGGTTCTTAGAACTTTGTTTGGCAGGCACCTGGGCGCCCCAAGACGCTTCGCCACTGATTGAGTCACTACGCATCCTTTGCCAGGCTCTTCACCTCGTGGAATGCTCTCTGCCCGTCGGCTGCCCGAACGATGGCGCTGGCGCAGCGCGAACGCGCGAACGGAATCCCCCCGAAAGGGCCAAAGGCAGCCTCGAGCCACTTCCGTCTGGTCGGGCATGTCTTAGTGAGGGGGTCTCCTACAGCGACCATTAGCAGGCCATGGCTGTTAACTTTTTGGCCCACGGAATGAAAACGCGGAAACAGGAACTTGACAGACGAAGCGCTTTGAAATTTTCAAAATTCCGCTGAATACTGTTTTTTTTTGCACGGCCTTTTTTGCCATCGGCTGCTTTGCAATATTCAAAATCCAGGCATGTTTTGCCATGGGGCGATGTGTCATCGATTCAAAAGCGGGGAACCGCAGGCGATGCTCATTGGTACAACGCCCAACGGGTCTCCCAAAAAACAGCGCACATGTTGGATTTGGCGCGCGGCGTACGCGAGTGAGAAAGCAGCCGCTTCTCTAGGGCAGCGCGCGCCTTGAGGGGACGCAAGCTTCAACGTGCGAGCGGTTCCACCGCGCAAGCGCAAACGCTACGACCGACGGGGCAAATCGTCCGCTGCACGGCGATGCGCACACCTGTCGCGACATCACTCGAGAGCGTCGCAATCACATTTGTTTCCGTCCAACTTTGAAGACGACGCTGCGTAACCAAAGCGCGCGCGGGCGCGCCAAAATCGAAGCAAACACGAACGCGCACACGCGCGCACACGCACACGCGCACACACGCGCACACACGCACGTGCACGTAGCGAGCCAAACCTTTGAGTCGCGACGGGTACAAGCTAGACCAGGGCGCGGCTAACATAATTGACGGCAGCGCAAGCATTTGTTGTTTTTTTTGTTTTTCTCTCTCTCTCTCTCTCTCTCTCTCTCTCTCTCTCTCTCTCTCTCTCTCTCTCTCTATATATATATACATATACATACATAAAATATCATGTTCAAATGGAAACAAAGAGAACGGATCGCGGTATATTGCCCAGCAGCCAGCCCGGAAACGCACCCGAACGGGCTCCGCGCCCCACGGGTGCCGCAAGGAGAATTGTCGAATGCCGACGCGCACTTCCGCGCCGCGAAAGGGCTCCCATGCCGCTGGAGCTCCCGCCACCGCCCCTTTCACATAGCGCAAGGCTTCATCGTCTCCAACGTGCGGGTCCGCCAGCGATGTTGCTTTCAGGAGCGCCAGACGGCTTCCCCACAATATCCGCGCGCATGTTGGGCTTGGAGCTTAACGTGCGGGACATGAGAAACGTACAGATTGTACAAAGCAGCGCGCGGCCTGGAGAAGCGCGAACTTAACCGCCGCGCAAGCGGGAGGAGCATTGGCCGACGTACGGCCGCGACCCGGCCTCCGTCGGCCTCCTCAGACGGCCCCAGAACAACTCATTCTCAGTTGCGGCACTTACATGTCGACTTTGATATTGTGGACAATGCAGAATTATCCCGCGCGCGCGGGTGCCGGTGACCCGGCCTCCGTCGGCCTCCTGACAGGGCTCCAGAAAAATTCAGATTTAGTTTTGGGAAGAAAATGTCGACTTTCATATTCTGGACAATGCAGAACTATCCCGCGCGCACGAGCGCCGGTGACCTGGCCTCCGTCGGCCTCCTCAAAAAGCTCCAGAAAAATTCAGGTTTAGTTTTGGAAACAACATGTCGACTTTCATATTCTGGACAATGCAGAACGTTCCAGCGCGCGCGAGCGCCGGTGACCCGGCCTCCGTCGGCCTCTTTACAGGGCCCCAGGAAAATTCAGATTGAGTTTTGGGAAGGTAATGTCGACTTTTATATCGTGGACAATGCAGAATTCCCCACGCGCGCGCGCGCCGGTGACTCGGCCTCCGTCGGCCTCCTTAAACGGCTCTTCAACCAGCCAACCTGCGTGCCAGCCGGCGCGCCAGCCAACCAACACACTGGACTCAACCATGCAACCAACCGGCGCACGCGGAGCCTTACGTGTACATACTTGTAGATAGGCGAAGATTATCGCGCCCCGCGATGCGCGGTTAACTTCACGCCCCTGCGCCGCCGCCCTGGACAAGGGTGTCTCTCCTGCCCAGACCGCGGCGCGCGAGGCGCGATAATCTTCGCGCCCCCAGGGGTGACCAAGTGCAAAGGCCTTGGGCGGCCACGCGTTTCAGAAATATGCAAACCTACGGATGCAAAGCGCAAAATGAGTATGCAGGCGTACAGTGAAGGTCTTGACCTAAGGTGTGACGTAAGGAACTAATGCCCCCACCTCGGCATGCGGATACATGTAGGGGCGACAGCTCCAGCGCGCGCCCCGCAAGGAACGGGGGGGCCCGAGATTG